TCACCTATAATTAAATATGCCATTCAAATATTCTATTTTAGTATGGTTTAAAAGAAATACATTACCCATCACCCAGGTCTACCCATCATATAAATTATATCAGAGTGGCATTCCATAGATCATGAAAAAAGATGTGCTAAAGTGTTCAAACACCAATTCCAATGCATAAAAAATGGTGATGCAATATTTCAATACTTGGTCATATTTGGAAAATAAAATGTCAAAATGTTGTTAGAATGTAAGGATAAAGAATGTAGCTTTAAATGCCATCCAGTAACAATTTTCACTATTAAATATTTATTGTAAGTATAGTTTATTCACTGAAACAAAGCAGTTACGTCATATTTAGTAAATTTGAGTGCCAACCTTAATGCAAAATAGATTGGTATGTATAGTTCGAATTTCCCAGGTACATTTATGTTGATAACAGTTTTCTGAGTTGTGAATTTGTCCCACAGCTTGTCAGGTAATTATGCCAATGGCTGTTGTTTATTTCCCTTCTTTTTGCCTCAATATTTGCATTGTTATTTTATAAAAAGTTTTTTTCAAAACCTTGAGGTATACTTTTAAGCATTTTGCTAAAATGCAGTAACCTCTGGTTCGACAAGCAAAAAAATTTGTCATTTCTTTGATGAAATATTTTGAGACTGAAAGAGATCATGGAGCTCCATCGAGATATTAGGTAGTAAATGGAATTTATACTAGCTCTAGTGTTTACAAAACATACACACTGTAATGTTAGCTGCAGTAATCAATGCAGTTGAATGTGTGGAAACCATTCTGAATCTTCAAATTATTACCTGGATATTGCTGTTCTGCATACTTTCTGAACTGATTGTATGTCTGCTCATTTAAAGCTTGCTGGATCTGTCGTTTTATAGCTTCTTGTTTATATAATTGTTCTTGCAAATACTTCTCTTCCTCCTCTTTCTTTAGTTTCTCCTGAGCTTCTATCAACTTTCTTGATTCTTCATCTTTGCTGGAAGCACATTTTAATAGTTGGAGTGATTGTTGATATATAATGAATTTTAAGGTTTCAGTACATAGTAAAGGAAAATATCCACTATGACAAAACAAGAAGTGAACTGATAGAAATGTACAAAATGTGTTAAGAGATAAAATAGCACAAGCGCACTATGATTTTCAGGACTCTTGAAGACAATATTAAATAAGAAAAGGTTGCACAACTGTGATTATAATGCATTATCATCCTCATCCTGGATACCCCTGTAAACTTTTTTCTGGCCTGCCTCAGAGTTTTGCTGTTCAATATCATGTTCATTTTTACTTGGAAATATTCTTATTCCTAGGCAATAAAAACTTACTCTGGATGAAGCATAATTTATCTCAACTTCAAATCGTAACGCAAGACCACTAAGGCTGAACCCCCAAAAGCCCATACCAGGTAGGTTTTCTCCTTTCAGCAGAGTTTGAAGAAATTAGTTAGCATATTGGACCATTTGCATTATTTTCTAAGTGTATGCATGAGAGAATGTCTTTTAGAAATAAGTTTTGTATGCCCTCTTTTTATTCTCATTTAATGCTTTCTATTAAGTATGAGTATGCATTATTAATGGTACTTACATTCTTCTTTCCTGCTCTTTCTTCTCTCTCCTATGTGCTTCAATGTACGTAAAAAACAAGTGACACCTTCTACTAAGTAGCTCAACAAACCCTCTTCGAGCCTGATCAGCAGAAAGTTGTCCCAACTTTTGCCATGCTATTCGTCTATCTCTACCAACAACATCTAGAGTGCCTAAAGCTGGAAGTTTGTGAATTGCTTCTGCATATGGACCGTGCAGAACTTGCTGTGAAAATGCTACTAATTGTAATTTATCCTCGTAGCTAAAGTGGAAAGCTTTGCCTTCTTTTTCTGGAAAGAATTGTTTGAATTAACTTGTGTGCATTTTTACATAAAAGCATACCCTTGTAAAAATTGAAGGCCAGTTTGTAAACTTCCTGAAGAGGAAGACCATATTCAATACCGCCTGTATCTGCTTCTCCAATTGTCGTTGATTTACTCAAGGTACCATCGACTACTTGTTCTGCAGCCATTCTCGATGTTTTCGAGGTTATTCACTTAACTATGACCCTGGAAAATATAAATCAATATAATTAAGATCTTACTTTCAATATTGATCGATTCATTAGCACAACTTATTTAACTAATAAGTGAATAAATTTTTTTTAAGAGTTACAAATAAAAATAAATGCACATACACAAAATTTTCCAGGAAACATAAAATTGAGAAACTAGAACTGTCAAGCCGACAGATGCAACATTAGTTCTGTGATTGATTGCCTCAAGGGCAAGTTGTAGAATTGGACTGCTGGTTACCGAATAATGCGGGTCCCACACGATGCTTCCAGCATTCGACAAACCCACAATTGGCGAGTGTCTCCCACACGATGGGATGAACTTTTTAGTCTCGGACGTTCGACGCATGGTGGTGCCAACGTCTATTATCGGTGTCAGTATCGCGCCTGAACCTTTGCAATTGAAAGAAAAATTAAACAAAATAAACAATGAAACATTTTTTTCGATCGCCGAAAAATAATTTCAGATCTGTCTTCAGCGACCAAAACTTAAGTCTGTCAGAAGCGTCAAAAATATCAGAAAACGAAGTTTGACCGTTTTTTGTTTGTTTTTCGACGATAGCTCCACCGCCACTGTACCGATTTTCAAAAACTGCAGAGCTTTTTTGTCATTTTCATAGTAGTAACCTAGGGTCAAAGTTCCATCAAAATCGTGTTAGTACTTTCAGAGTTATCATTTATTTCATCTTTTTCGTTAGTTATGAAATGGAAGTCAATATATTTCTCAACTAGTCTTACATCGCAACAGGACATTATAATGAAACAACTGTAAGCACTGGATAATTTATAATTTACTAAAATACATATCCTTAGGCCAGTCATAACTCACCTGCTAAACAAAATATCAGAAATATGAAAAAAGTGTTCTTATGGCAGCTTATGCTTTGTATGTATACTAATTTAATCCATTATCCTCAAAAGTTAGTTACGCGCAAATTTACCGTCAAGAGCCCGAACGTTCCATGTGGCGAACGTTGGACACATGTAATCCGTCAGCAGTCTCCCTCACGATGCGGCGAATGTCCATGTGTCCAACGTTGTAAGGCATTCGCCACATCGTGTGGGAGCGATTTAATGCCAGGAAAATAGCACGGAGTATTTAAATGTCGGCCAATCGCATTTTGGAATCATGCTGTTTTTCTCCTTAAAAAAATACGTAAAATATGGTAAAAAAACTATATTTCTCTGTTTTTTGGGATCTGGGACGTGTTTTCAAAATTGCAATACCGCTCTCAATACTTGACAGGTAGTATCTCGCAGTATCTCAGTGTAGACCACTTTTTTGAAAGATCGCTCTTGTCATCTACCTTTTCCGCCTTCTGTCATCCAAAAACATGTTCAATGGTCATAAAAATGGTTGTAACAAGAAATTTAATAGGGATATTAAGTACTAAACATATAATTTTCTTCGCAAATCCTCAAACTAGTAAGCTTACAGCAAGACTTTTACATCGATGTTACCATTGCAACCACGCATCTTTTACGTCGCGGAACGTAACCAAATCATTATTCCAAAGTGAGTAGAATGAAGAATATATGTAGTCATTTCATTTCATCTTTCCACTTTTGCAGATAATACTCATGCTGTAGTAACGGCAAGTAGGACTTTTCATCTAACTTCTCAACTTAGTGCTAGAAAGAACTATTACGAAATTTTGGGTGTGGGGAAGAATGCTTCCAATTCAGAAATCAAAAAGGCATACTATAAGTTAGCTAAACAGTACCATCCTGATGTGAATAAAGATCCTGAATCGTCCAAAAAGTTTCAAGAAGTTTCTGAAGCATATGAAGTAAGTAACTATACACCTTTAAGCCAGGTATACACAAATCAACCATGTAAATGAACATGAATAATCTCTACTATCAGCATTATTACAAGCCGGCTTATCATAATGTAATTTCCAATGTAGCATTAGACAGAGATAATTCTCTAGCTTAGCTACACCAGTCATTTTCAATGAAAAAATTAATACCCTAGTTTTTGGGTGTAGTTGATAGAATTGGGACTGAAAATGAGCACAAATGTGAAAGTGTTGATGGATAATTTCAGTATCTAAATTTGTATGTATGACTTCAAACTATGCAGCCCTACATAATATTGAATGCACTAGCTACTTGACGGCAAACAAATTGTACAGTAAAAGGAGAGCTGCTATGCATTGGGGTATGTATAAGATCCATTCCATTCTAAAAATGTCATGATTAAGAAGGTGATTATACCTTTTAAAACCTAGATAATGTCAACAATATTCTGGAACTAACCTATTTGCAGGCATTTTTAATCTCATTTAGAACCCAGACCTAGTGTCTGTTTAAGTGGAGAATCAAATAAGCCTGGTGTAGCTAAGTTAGAGATATTTAATAGGTTTTTGGATATCTTACTTTTGTATCATATCAAAATTGTGTATTGCTCTTAAATCAGATTTAATAAAAGTATTTAGATAGATGTTACAGTGAAAGTTCTTGAGATTGCTGGGATAGTACACATATCAACCTGAAGTTCATTTACCATCTTTCACAAAATGTTGAGTATGGAAAAAAAGTCTTTTCCAAATGGGTGCCGAGTTTTCTCACAATGGAACAAAAGCAACAAGTTGACAACTCAGAGAGCTATTTGTCACTGTTCACCCGCAATAAACAGGATTTCTTGCATCGGTATGTGACAGTAGACAAAAAATGGATCCACCATTTTACTCCGGAATCAAATCGGTAGTCAGCTGAGTGGCGTGCAGCTGTTGAAAGCCGTACGAAGCGTCCAAAAACGCAGCAGTCAGCTGGCAAAGTCGTGGCGTTATTTTTTTGGGACGCACAGGGTATAATTTACATAGACTACCTTGAAAAAGGAAAAAGTATGAATAGCAATTATTACATTAAGTTACTGATGCGTTTAAAGGACGAAATCGCACACAACGACCTCACATGAAGAAGAAAAAAATCATCTTTCATCAGGACAACACACCATGTCACAAGTCAATGAAAACAATGGCCAAATTGAACGAGTATGGCTTCAGTCTGCTTGCTCTAACGAGGAAGTTATTGCTGCAGCAGAAGCTTATTTTGACACCAAGGACAAATCTTTCTTCAAGCATGGTATTGAGAAGTTATAAAAACGTTGGAATGATTGCATTGCACTTGATAGCGATTACGTTGATGAATAAAAATGAATTTTGTGTTATCACTTCTCTTGCTATGAATGAGAAGTAAATGGCATATTGTGTGATCAATACTAAAATACTATTAACCTAGTTTTGCTGTGATTCATGATAAAGATTAATTGAAAATCAATCCCTTTACAATTTAGAGAAAGAGCAAAATATTGAGGAAAGAATACAAATAGACCTAATTTATTTAATCTACATACTTTAATATATTCATTTTTTATATAATCCATAGCTCAAGATTTAAGGTTTCAGCCTATGCCACTATTTCATCAAAATTGTATACACTTAATATTATGTATACACATACTGTGTCATATCATGTCAGTTTGTAAAGCTCTGATGGATCAAGAGCCCTGACATCGTCATCTTTTTAAATGTAGTAAATATAAATAGCTCCAAATTTTAAAAAAAAAATTCTTATCAATTCAGCATATCTATTCCTTTTTCAATATGTCTTATCAAAAATGATCATCACCTCTTTATTATAGTTTAACCTTCCCAAGTGTTGTCCTAATAATATCAAAAAGAATATATTTCTTAACCATCAAATTACGAATAAACAATTTAATTATACTGAATTATTTTTTCTAGATATTAGCTGATGAAACAAAACGTAAGCAATATGACACCTGGGGCTCGACAGCTGAACAAATGGGTGGTATGGGTGGGGCAACAGGTGGTGCTGGTGCAGGAGCATCTGGGCCCCAAGGTTTTAGTCAACATTGGCAATATCAGTCTACCATTGACCCAGAAGAACTGTTCAGAAAAATTTTTGGAGATGCTGGATTTGGCAAAGGGTCATCACCATTTGAAGATTTTGCTGATTCAAGATATGGATTTGGACAGGCTCAAGAAGTGAGTATACGCTGAATTTGATAAAATATTTGAACAGGTTCTGTGTGTTTTTGCTGTTTCAAGATTTCACACTAGAAGACACCTTCAAATATAGTAAAAACAAGAAAATACATCTAAAGTTTAGCATCTTGTATTTTTTCTTCTTACCTAGTATTAATTAACTTTATAAGATGATGCCCAGCCCAACCATAAAACCAAATTGAATGTTGACATAGTTTAAATAAGATATAAAATCACATTCCATTTCCCTTTGAAAGATAATTGTTTATTCTTAAATATCACTTCAATTCTCCAAGGAAAGATTAACTTCCCTCATAATGATTCTTAAGATTATGAATATCTCAGAATTTCTCAACAATAGAAAAGGAAATCCCATAACCTGTAAGCATTTCTAGTTAGTGGCACCATGGTACATCAATATGCCCATTTTTGCTCAAGTGCGACTTCAATTGTGTTGGTAGAATGTGTTAAACAATGCTAGTAGCAAGTGATTTTGGATTTGTTTATTGTTTCATTGAATAATTTAGTAACTATTTTGTACATGGGGATATATTTCTAGTTAATATCTTCACCTAAGTAAAGATTAGACAGACTTACTATAATATCTTCTCAGATTTTTTAGTACCAGTTCAAGCCTCAACAATTCTTAAGGGGTAACCGCATTGTAACAGTCCATCAAGTAATTTTTAGTTGAAGAGGAGGTAATAAAATATTAATATTGGAGGAAGTTATGAAACATATAATTAACACAAAAAAATGGTGTCAAGTAACTTAACTCTGTACTTCCTAAGCTACACTGTCAACAATTTGTAAGCAAATTAGCCTTTCTTAAAAAAAGTTAGCTACAAACATGTATAAGAAAATATTAAATGACCTATCTCCTCCTCCTGAGAGGAATTCCTGCACATGCTGGTTGTCATGACTAATCCCGCGTGAATGACGGTGTTAGCCTTCACCATGCACAGTGTTTATATAGCGACAGCACACAGCAGTATGGAATCGATTGCCGACTGTTGGACATATTTAGTTTTAACGGTAAATGTACGGGGACATGTATGATGAGTGAAATATGCCTAATATTTGAGTAGAATGACTGGGGCTGGAGGTATATAAATATACCAACATCATAAAATTGAGAATTTCGAAAACTACAAGGCTTTCGCGTCCTCGACATAGTAGTTACATGGTGTAAAAATTTCACCGAAATCCGAGCGGTACTTTTCAAGTTATAAGATTTTGCGAACAGGCAGACAATACTTTCCCGCCAGTAGGCATGGAAAGTGAAAATTAAGATAAAAAAATATTCAAAAATGGCGGCATCACAGCGTTTTTTGCGAAACGCATCGAATTTGAGGCGCTCTGCGGCATGCGCATTTGGATCTAGAAAAAACAAAATATTGTACATGTTTAAAGCTAAAGAAACCACAGTGGATTTTAAATTTTTTTTTTTAGGTTAGTGAGTATTAGAATAAAAACGTTAAATTTTCGATGAAAAAAAGAAATCATTAACAAATAACGATTAAATTAACTCATCGAAAATCTCCTACGTTTTCTCTTGAAAATTTTGTTTTAAAGATTTTGTGAAAAAATCGAATAAAAACAGCAATCGTTTGAGTTATGCTGGTACTATCTTGACAAATAGAGTTTCGAGAAAAACGCTGCAGTGTCGCTGTTTTCAGAATACTTTTTATGCTAATTTTCTTTTTTGTTACTTGAATACATATATGCCTATAGGTTATTATAACATTAAAATTTCTTCCACAACAAAAATTACAAAAACACACTTTTTCTTTAGGCCATTACAGTCGTGTTACGCTTAATTTGCTATTGTCCTGATCAATTAATAATGGTGAAATCAAAATAGGAGAATTCTGTGAAGAATGAATCTGAGTCTTGTGAAGAAGAATTTAGGAATTTTGATCATCATTTCCAACGTTTTGAAGATACATTTGGAAATTTTGGAGATGACAGTGAAAATTGATTCACTGGAAGTCGTAAAGTTGTAGGACCATTTTATATTGTTTTTTCAATAAAGATATTTCATTATATTTATCATTTGTTAATTTTGAGAAAGTCTAGGATGTTGAACTGAATGGTTATTTATAGTTTATAGAGTATGTAACAATTCTCTATTTATTTTAATCCTATTGACAAAATATTAATAATTATTAATAATAGCAGGAGTTTGAAAATCCGCCCTTCAACAATATGAACAGCCTGAAGTCTGTTGATTGGATTCTAATGCATCACTACTTAAAAACCAATTGGGATTGGCCACACTGACACCAAAATCAAAACCTAATGTAGTACAAAAACCTGTTTAATCTCTTTATATATATTCAACATGTTATGACCCACAGAGTACAAATAAAACATTAATCATGTAGATGATTTTTATTTTATGCATATCCTAAAATTAAAACATCAAAAACTGATAACTTGTGCTTACATAACATATAAGAAGAAAATCCTGCAAGTGGAAGTAAAACTTGTGAACTGCATTTATAATTCCATTGCTGGCATGTCATCTATCCTTCAAATCCAAGAAAAAAGTATATCAAAACAACATACTTATTTCCTATTTTTATCTTTGTGTGTACAAAATGTTTGGAGGATATTGGCATAGGTTGTTGTTTGGCAAATTGTGGTTACAAAGTCTGAATGCATCTTTTTGTAAACAATCTCATAAACATTACAGTGGAATTTTGGATCATTATGCTATTATACCACTACCCAAAAGTATTACTTTCAGATAGTGACAATGTACACTCAAATGCTTTGATTTATAATGACTACAAGCCAATTAAATAGTAGAGATCGCAACTTTTTGCATCTTAGTATATTTGGATGATGTGAATATTGAGATTTTTTTACCTTTTCTCATAGGGAATTATCTTTGTTGTAGATCGTTTTGAAAATATCTTTCAGCCAAGCAGCTAGAGGTACAAACAAAGATGTAAATATTAACGTTGTTGATTCGTGTCCAAAATGTAGGGGTGCAAGATGTGAACCAGGAACCAAAGCAACCAAGTGCCAATTTTGCAATGGAACAGGTAATTTTCAAAAAATATAATTGATTTCTATATTCAGTGACACTGTCAGCGGACAGTTTCTTGACAGTAATTAGTTGATAGGAGCCGCTTTCCAGTGCTTTTTAATTGAGAGTTGTATGCACCGAGAGTGTGATGTTACAAAACTGCTCTAGCAAATATGCATGGGAATGCAATGATAAAAGCCTGCCATCTTTTGATGCTTTGCTTTGAAATTTACTGTTCGGGATCATACTGCCAGAAAATCTTTATTCTTTTGTGTTGTTGATTTGAACTCCAAACTATTGAATTCTCACGGGTCTAGCTTTCAGATGACGAAGATGGAGTTTGTCACACTAAGCACTAGCAATGAAAATGTGAAACACATTTTATGAATGATGGCGCAACACGTCAGAGGTCTACATTTTTATTGAAAAGCTTCTGTGTAAATGAATCGATTTCATATTTTAGTAAAATTATTTTCAAAGTGTCTAGTTACAGATGAAGCCAACTACAAGCTGCTACGAACTTGCCTTCTTGCGCTCTCTTGTGAATTTAATTGTTCAGGAACATTTCAAACATACGTTGTGACTCTGGGTTATACATTATCAGTTTCTTACCATACTCCATTGTCTGTTTGTGGTTTAATGTGAGTTTGATGCAAAAAAAAATACGGTGAAAAATCATAATTTAACAATTTTGACACATTGTTTGTCCCGTTATCCCTACGATTTCGGAGCGTATAACGCCGATTAAACAGCTAGTGGATGAGGGGGCAGGGGATTTCAAAAATGGGTAGCTCAGGTGCATGACACTCTAGAGTAGTGGAATGGTATTGCCAGATAATGGACATTGAAAAGCGGCTAAGAAGGAACACCAGAAAAAGCCACTTTCGTCTCGGTAGCGGTTCGCTGCCTCGTGTCGCTGTCCCTGAATCGAAGCGGAATGGCACCTTTATAGTCTTGTTTTTCAGGAATGGAGAGCATAACCACGGGTCCATTCGTTATGCGATCTACCTGTCGATATTGTCAAGGCACACGAATGTACATTAAGCACAAATGTACAGAATGTGAAGGAAAGGGTTCCACAGTACAAAGGAAGAAGGTTACCATACCTGTTCCTGCAGGTATGTTTGAGTATTGACATAAAAAAACAAACTTACGCAAGCTTGTGTTTTGCAGGTATTGAGGATGGACAAACAGTGAGAATGTCTGTAGGAAATAAAGAGTTGTTTGTAACGTTCCGAGTAGAAAAATCAGATTATTTCAAAAGAGATGGTGCGGATGTTCACACAGAAGCTGACATTTCTGTGTCACAAGCCATCCTAGGTGGTACCATAAGGATACAGGGCTTGTATGAAGATCATACCCTCCAGGTTAGTTCAGTATCATCTTCGAAATTAAATGGAATATTATTACAGTAAAGATATGAGAAGACTTGTGACAGATTTAGAGTTTAGACGATTTTTTTCCACGTTGTGTGAAAGAGACGCTGATGTGGGTGGGCAGTTAATAAGAAAGTTATTGCTGGGAGAAAAAATCTCTGTTCCTGCTCAGTCTCTGGTATTTTAATAAAACAGAAATATATTGGGTAATAAGTACTAACTCAAGGAATTGTGGATTGTGACACATGGAAATATGCTCCAGAAGTTATATTAAATGATACAGGGGTATAAAAACGAAGTGCTATCAAAGTGGATTTATACTGGAGACAGACTGGTTCGGATTATCTAGCGATTCCATAAGGCTACTAATTTTTTGAAAACGGTTTTAACTCGATCTTTTAATCCCATTCTTTGAACAAATTTTGTTTGTTTGCTTGTAGAATATTTATTTAGCATTAATGCTACATTGTCAATATGTTATAATTATTCTTTTACACATTTTTTTTATCAATTTTCTGTAATTCCACATTCTTGTTTATTAAAGTTACATGTTATTATTCATAGTTATTTTTTAATTTGATGTTAAACATTTTTAATTCGAACACTGTTTAATATTGTTAAATTTAGTAAATTCAGATATTCTTCTTTGAAATACAGATTTGCTAGTTATGCTAGCTCTCTAAATGTGGTGGTAATAAATGAATTTTTAATTTGAATATGAACATAGCATACATACCGAGATTATGGTAAACTCTATAGAAGTAATTTATCTTAATAATCTAAATCTAAATAATGTGTTCATAATGCTCTTGAAACAGTAGTTTACTATCCACATACGAGCCCCTTCCCACTTCAGTTGGCTCACTTCAAGATTTGTACCAAAATATGCCTTTATAAACTAAACATGACGAAACTATTTACTTCTAAAACAATTTATTTTCTCAAAAACATTTTAGATACACTCTAGTCGTAAAAAATACATATTTGAAATCACTTAGACCTATAACTAATAGAACATCTGAACAAATAAACAATGTGCGAATAAACGCGCGAAGTTAACAAATCAACAATTGAAAGATTACCATTGGGTAACATCACCTTTATTTTTTATTACGGCTGAAATTTTTTGGGGCATAGTGTTAACCAAGTTTTGGCAAAAATTTGGTGTCAAACAATCCCATATTTCTTGAAGCTTTTGTCTCAGTTCGGTGATTGTACGAGCACTATGTTGTCGTAGAACCTTTTTCATCTCATGCCACAAAGTTTCAATAGGTGACAGATCTGGACTGCTAGAAACCCATTTCAAAATTGGTACATTATTTTCTTCCATCCATTTTATAGCCTTTTTTGAGGTATGGCACGCTGCACCATCTTGCTGAAACACAAAATCTTGGCCAGATGTCATTCTTCCATCACTGGTAAAAGCGATTCTTCTAAAATTGCCAAATATTTGTTTGTATCCACATTTCCATCAGTAAAATAAAGTTTTCCTACTCCTTTTGATGACATACTGCCCCAGACCATAATGAATGCTGGAAATTTCACTTTTCTCTTCAGACAGTCAACATGGAATGCTTCATTTTTTTTGCGAATAACTCTACTGCGACTGTCACTAACACAAACTTCGAATCGGGCCTCATCACTCCATTGTATTGCACACCATTGTTGAGGTGTCCATTGTCTATGTTCTTTAGCCCATCTAAGCCGATTTTTCTTTTGCAGTGGAGTTAATAGTGGCTTTTCTTTGGCCTATAAACAAGTTGTGCAACTTTAGTGCTTTTAATTCACTTTTTTTGTAAGAAAACTTACCTTGCAAGTGCTAAATCCCAGTTTGTGGGCCTCTCTATGCGTTGTGGACCTCGAAATTATCCTTCCAACAGCGTCACTCCACAGAGCACTTAATTGTAAATAATTGGCACGCCTGCTTTTCACGATTATTCTTAATGCTCTTCGGTCGGCATTTGTGATATTACTTTTTTTCACATATCGTGGCTTAATATTAACTGAACCAGGTACGTTATATATTCTAACATTATTTCTCACACTGTAACGCGATAAGTCTAACAAAGTTGCAATTTCTGAGTTTGATTTCCCAGAATTAAAAAATTTAATTATCAGTAACTGAATTTTCTCACTAATAACCTTTCCTCTACCCATTTTGAAAACCTTAACTACCCAAAACTATTTTAAACGTATTCTGACAGCTGTGATTGATAAAAACAATTGTCATGGCTTTTATTTTTCACAGCCACCGATGCGTTATAGACTTATTTTGCATTGAAATGAAAATAGGTTTGATTTGCTGTAATTGCAACATGTGTTATTTTTATGCTGCAAATTTGATTAGGGAGTGATAAAGTTGGTGTTTTCTTGAAGTTGAGTCATTAATTTTCAGATAATGATTGTAGAAGGAAGATAAACCAAAATATGTGTGTAAAAATAAAAAAAAATTAAAAAAAAAATGTTACCTTGTTTTATAAAGTATCCTCCCGACAAGTATTTCAGTGCGGACCTGTGCGCCCAAAAGCATGTCACAAAAACTGTTCGAAATGATTTCCGTTTTGCTCGACGCACAGCTGGGCGCGTCTTAGCCATGTCTCTTTACAAGCACGCAATAAAATCACTGGTTGATTTCTGATCACTGTACTCATTTCCTCAATTCGAGCACGTAATTCTTCGCGTGTATTAACCGGTGTTTTATACACTAGAGTTTTTAGCCAACCCCACAAACAAAAGTCTAAAGGATTTAAGTCCGGAGACCTTGGCGGCCAAGGTACAAAACCGCCACGGCCGATCCAACGATTATTAAATTGTCTATTTAAAAATTCACGCACATTTCTTGCATAATGGGGTGGTGCCCCATCTTGTAAAAACCACATGTTTTGTCTAATATTTAAAGGCACATCTTTCAGTAAACCAGGCAAATTGTGTTGCAAGAAATCAAAATAATTTTCACCAGTTAAGCGATTTGGTAATTCAAAAGGCCCCACTAAAATTCCATTAACAATTCCCGCCCACAGGTTGATTGGTTCAAATCGCTGTTGAAAATTGGTTTCCCTTATTTTATGGGGATTTTCAATAGCCCAAACGTGAGAATTACGTGAATTAATAATTCCGTTTCTAGTAAAGAGGGCTTCATCACTCACTAAAATTTGATTTAAAAAATTGTCATCATTTTGATGTTTATTTAAAAGCCAATTGCAAAAGTCAACCCTTTGTTCATGATCTTCCGGTTGTAAGGCCTGCACTTTTTGTATGTGAAACGGATAGAACTGATTTTCACGTAGAGTTTTCCAAGTTTTATACTGACTAATCGCCAATTGAGTTGAAATTTGTCGGGTGCTTACTGTTGGATCATCACTTACTAATTCTAAAATTTGTTCTTCTAGTTCTATTTGATCGTGTGGTCTTGGATGATCTCCTCTGTGAGGTTTTAAGTCACCTGATTCACGAGCTCTTTGCACTACATTAACAAAGGCACGAGGGGTTGGTTGCACTCGATTGGGAAACCGATCCGCATAGATCCGTGATGCCGCGGCAGCATTTTGTAAAGACTAAATAAGAACCATGTCCACAAGTTCAGCATTTTCGTAAACATGTGCCATTTTTGATTTGAGCCTCGCAACAGACACGATTATTCACTTACGCGTTACCGACTACCGACTGATACTGACTGTATACAACTGAAGAAAATAATTGTAAAAAGATCGTTCCAAATTCTTTCGCTTTTTTGTTTCCGATGCGATGAACGGATAAGGCGGATTATATCTGTTGTTGCCAAACACGAGAACATAATATCATTATTGAGACAGGGCGGTACTCAAACTTCCAAAGGGCTATAACTTTGTTACTTTAATTTTACCAGAAAAATGGTAAAGGAAAAAAACATTTCTTTTGATCAGATCTACTCACTGTTAAAATAAATGACTCAACTTCGAAGTCACCCTGTATATTATCAAAGTATTCATTGTTAATATTTTAAACCGATAACACCCTGCTACATTTTTATTATTTGTGTTTGATAAGAAAAAAACTAAGATTTCAATAGTTGGGCCAACTGAAGTGGGAAGGGGCTCGTATTTACCCAGATATTTGAATGATTCGACTACTTTAATTTTTTCACCATTAATCTTGAGCTTAATTTTATTGTCACCTAAATGATTTCGGGGTCGCAGGACCTGTATTTTTTTGTAAAGCTGATTCTTTTGTGAATATTTTTTTTGTATCGAAGCAGTTGCGTAGGCAGAACCCTAAATATCAGGGCACCGCGGTTGCCATGAGGAGCTTAAATAATCATTGTTAATCCGATTTTTGAACTGTCGCTATTGATGTATTTGTGCCAAATCAAGTACTCGGTGATCTGGATTCCGACCAGCCGAAATGAACGGCTCTTTGACTTTTTATTTTATTTTATGCAGCATCGATATCTATCATTCCATTTTATCCATATTCAAATTACAAAGATATAAAAAGGGAATTCACATTTGACAATGGTCACATGGTGATTATACAAATATAACCCAACTCGTCAACCCGTAAATTTCTTATGTGCTTGAAATGGGGTTTATGATTTAACGGGAGTTTTATTTCCGATATCCCATAACCAAAACAGAATTCGGTTCTGTCTACCTGGCGTTGACGGGTCCGTCAGAATTATGTGTCCTGTGCCGATATGGGGAATTTTGAGATATTACTAGATAATCAGCTGTCATTCTGCCGTGATTGATACTTATTAAATAGGGTATATGTTCTGTTGGAATCAAATCATTGTTTTTTGACATTATTTTGTCATTAATAGAGTTTCCTATGGGTCCCGTTGGTGTTACCCTACCTAACTCGCCTAGATAAAAAGTTACATATCACACAAATGTACAGGGTTCCTGAACATGTGGAACAATCGAAGGGGTGGTTTTTTCAACTGTCATAATATTTGGTCTTGTGAATATTGAAAAGCCACTTTGTTTTGTATACAGAGTGATAAAAAAAGGTAAACCCCTACGTATGTTTATTAGAATTCAAGAATTTTTTACATATCGATTGGTGATAGAGAAGCATTCAGCTTTCGTACATTTACAGTGTCACTTAACTGTTAAATTTCGTGTAGCTTATTGAAAAGCCTTTTTGTGAAGTTTTGGTATGGGGTGCTATTGCTTATGGTAGCAGATCACCACTAATTTTCATCAGAGGCAATATGACAGCCCGACGCTATATTCAGGAAGTAGTGGAGCCTCATGTTATTCCATACCTAAACACTATCCATAACCTGATTTTCAACAAGACAGTGCCAGAGCGCATGTTGCCAGAACATCGTTAGCCTTCATGGATCAACATCGCATCAACCGTTTACCGTGGCCACTACTATCGCCTGACCTATCTCCAATTGAACATGTCTGGGACATGACAGGTTGCAGGCTCCTGAATTTGCAACACCCTACACAGATCTTTAGCAGCTCTTACTCACGAAGTTGCAGTAGCCTGGAATGAGATACCCCAACAGGATATCGACCACCTTATCAGCACGATGCCCAGGAGTGTCAATGAGTGCATAAGAAATCGTGGATCCTCAACACATTATTGTACCAGCTTCTGCAGTCAATTGACGAATCCAGCTGAAAATATAATCATTTTACTAGTAATAAATCAAATAAACATACGTTGGTGTTTACCTTTTTTGGCCACTCATTATATACGAGTATACAAAAGGTAAACAAATTGTCAGTATTAACGTTTTGTTCAAGCATGGATAGATAAAATATTCATAATAGTCCATGTAGTTTACTCCATTTGTACTAAATGTCTGAATCTCCATGTTGTTCCGGCCGCCAAATGAAGCCAGGCATGTTAAATGAAATTTGACTAACGTTTCGACCACTTCGGTGGCTTTTTTGAAAGTACAATTCAAAATGTTTCATAGCCTTGTTATATAGTTCGGAAAAGGCCACCGTGGTAGCCGAAACGGTGGTGGACTACAACATCTTCGATTCTATTTGGCAGAAAGTAAAACATGGGGATTGGTCAAAGATAAGTTTTATATGTAACACTAACTTGTGAATGGTTTCAGGTGATGCCGGGTACGTCTTCCCATACGAAAATCCGTCTCAGTGGGAAAGGTATGAAGAAAGTAAACGGTTATGGACATGGTGATCACTATGTTACGTTCAAAATAAGTGTACCTAAACATCTAAATAACAAGCAAAAAGCCTTGATAACGGCATATGCGGAATTAGAAGAGGACACGCCTGGACAGATTATGGGGGTCACATACAAAACTGACGGTTTGTATAGTAGCTAGAGAACATTTCTCATTTCGAATTTCAAGCTCAGACTAGAAAGGTTAAAATTCTGAAGGTGGTATTAAAACGCCAAGTATGTCAAACATAAAATTCTAATATTTGAGAGCTAAACTGATGACTACTAGCAGTACTAAGGTTTACGTCTGAAAAGTAAGTTACACTATTTTTTATTGAGAGTTACGGGTCTCACCAGGACTGTATTTGTGAATTGTTACAGTATGTACGTTCACTGCTCTGTAACAATTTCAGCGTTTGTAATTGTTTCCGTGCGTTCGGAAATAGAAGCAAGTAATCCTTTTGAAATATCAAAAGTGTACTTTTTTCCATGCTCAAAACATTTGGAATGAGAGTGTTGCCACTTATCATTCTCATAGTTTATTGTTTGTTCACGTTTTTGGGTTATCATAAAGTGCTCAAATTTGGTAGAGTATATATTTTTTATGAGAAACAGGAAACCTCTTATCCATAGCGTTTCTTATAATAAATAATGGTACCTAGCAGAAAACGTGGAGAGAAATTAGTGGGGTGTCATAAACTGACATTACATGATTGTAATAATTTAGGCGTTCTAAGAATAAAGTCAACACAGTATTCCAGAGTAAAATTTCAGTCTACATTCATTACTAAGCCTAGTTAAAACTAAAGATGTGAAATATCTGAGGTGCTACACATATTTGTCCAAATGCAATGTTAGTTGATGTTTATTAGTTTCTCCATAAAGGCTATGCCGGATGTTTCAAATTCGACTCTCATCATTGGGATCTCGGAAACGGTAAGAGATACGTAACTTAAATGGGGCACGGTTGCGTATCTAGATAACTAACATAATGCCGCTTAGAAAGTTTTGAAATTCGAAGTACTTCCAGAGAGAGACGGAAAAAACAAATTTTCCCAAACTATTTCATTTTCGACTCTATTTGTAGTGTATTGCAACTTTTTATCCTCTACAAGATGGCATAATTAAAATTTCAATATGACGTTTGGTCTCTTGTCCTCCAGCATCAACTCCAGTTTTTATAATGGACGCCATATTGGATTTTTGTGCAGATAAATAGAGTTTTGATTCCAAAAATGTATACAGTAGCGGACAAAAGTTTGGAAACATTCTTAGTAATTTTTAAAAAGTACGCTAATTTTTGATCCTTTATTATTAAGGACTATTTTTTCTCATATAGTTTGCTTACACTCTTGAGGATACAAATGACAAGTAGTTGTGTTTGATGTGGTACTACAGACTAGCCTTAAAATACCTTCATACTATTTTATGACCAAAAATGAGACAACAAAAGTATGGAAACATTTTTTATTACAAAATTAAATACAATAACTCTACAAAAAGATTTAAAAAATACTGTTTAGCTAATATTTGGTAGCATAGCCTTTAGCATTCAACACTGCCTGACATCTGCTGCTCGTACAAGACACCAATTTTTTACATACGTCTGTTGGGATATTTTGCCAATTTTTTTACATAATCAAATAAATCGTTCCTATTTTTTAAATTTTTTCTTGTTAGTTGTCTTTGAACATGCTCCCAGATACATTCTATACGGTTTAGGTCCGGGGATTGCGAAGGCCATTTAAGAACATTAACACGTTTTAGTCTTAACCAGTCCTTTACGAATTTTGAGGTATGGTTATTATCTTGCTGGAATGTCCATCTTAAAGTCATTTCTTCTTCAGCAAAAATGAGCATGTGATCACTAAGAATATCTTTTTAAAGTTTTTGAACAATTTTAACAATTGGACCCGTTCCAGAACTAGAAAAACCACCCCAAACCATGATTTGCCTCCACCGTGCAACTGATACTTTTTGTAAAATCTTTTTCGTATTTGACATCTTACATATGCCGTACCGTCAGATCCAAACAAGTTAAATTTGCTTTCATCGCTCCAGAAAACTGAATTCCATTGTTGTTCTGTTCAAGTTAGATCAGTTTTAGCAAATTCAAGCCGAGCAATACAATTTTTTTTTGAAATGAGAGGCTTTTGCACTGGACGCCTACCAATAAGCCCAAAATACACCAAGCGTCTCCGCACTGTTCAGACAGAAAGATTCTCGGCACCCTCTTCTACGATTCTTTTGAAAATCTGTGTGGCTGTCATGTGTCAAGATCTTCATGGGACAAATGTTTAGTGTAGCGATCCAAAACATAGTCGTGTTTTTTTTTTCGGTCTTCCGCACTTGGGTCGCGTGGCTGTTGATCCGTATTCTTGAATATTTAATAATAATTTTTGAAATCGTCCCTTTATTCATTTTTAATTTTTGAGAAATGTCAACATTTTTGACACCACTTCTAAATAATTCAATCACTTTGTCTCTTAAATCTTTTGAGCGAATAAATACGGCAAAACTGAAATGTTTCCATACTTTTGTCGTTACAAAAACTGGTATTTATAAACGCGTGTTTTTATTTTGAGAGAATATTAAGATAAACCTTGTATTAGTACGGGAGCCAAAGGTAGACGTTAATGTTTATATTAACTGTTTCTTACAATTTTAATTTAGGTAAATGAAATAGTTCATAATAATGTTAATATTTGTTTCCAAACTTTTAACCGTTACTGTATGTCCTACAGTGACTTTGCCAAACCTGTTGGTCTAGAAAAAGATAATTTCCTAGGTAGGCATTGAAATCATCAGATTGTAATTTATTTTGTATACCAGAACTCAAATAACAAAGTTTGGAAGACTGAGAAGAAGGGAAATAAATCTAGCAGTGAACAATATATAGAGAAGAATTAGGCTTTGCTTACAAAATAATGGACAACATTTTGAACATCTATGATTTAACTCTGCTTATTTATGATTATTATTGTTATTACCGTCATTAAAAATGTCGTTTTGTGATCAGGCTTCACCGTATCTTTTTATTTCCTTATAATTTTCTTTCCAACAAAAAATTCATGGCCAACAAGGAAATACAGCTCTGAATCTAGGACCGAAGAGTCCATTTAAATGTACAAAATTCCAATATAGCATCCATATAAAAAACAAAAGCGTTAGTGATGGAACTCGAATGAAGAAACCTTGAATTGAAAATTTGACTACGCCATCTTGATAGGAGAATAAGTGGCAATGAAGAGATACAATTTATTTTGGTACGCAAAACAAATGACTACCTGTTTTTTTTTTTTGAAATAAACTAAGGTTTGGTAATGTCAATCTATGACGTATTAAACATTTGTGGAATCAGAATTAAAAACTATTCATCTGTACAAAAATCCAATATGACATCCATAATAAACAATAAAGCTGACCAGAGACGATACGTCATATTGAGATTATAATTAAACCATCTTCTAGAGAATAAAAAGCGGCAATGTTAATGAGCAACTTATTTTGAAATCCCACTACAGATAAAGTCATGCACTTAATTAAAACGATTTTGGGAAAATTCTGTTTTTTCCGTCTCTCTCTGAATTTTGAAACCTTCTAAGCCGCATTTTGTTAATTAGCTAATTACGTAACTTTGCCCCCCCTTTAAACGACTTCGTATCTTCTACAGTTTCCGATATCCCAATGGTGCGGTTCGAATTTGAAGCACCCGGTATATAAAGATAATGAAATTACGCAGCAGTGTTTATATTTATATAAAGAGAAATCCAAATATCACTAACGTCCTACAAGCTAAAATTTGGGACGATGAAATTGATGCATCAATACTATTTTAACTTAAATAGAACAAAAATTTCAATATCTTGCATTTTTTAAATAGAATGGGAGGTTGCGTGATACTTCATTTTGAGGCTCGGGAACCTTAAACCCTCGAACAAAAAAATGGCGGACTGACAAGCTGTCAAAGTTGAGCGTTTTTTTACATTGAGTGTAATTCAACAATTAATCATCAAAATGTTAATATAATATATTGATCTTATTTTGGAAGGGTCTATTTGAATGTGCGATGAAATATGACATTCAGTTTTAATAAATTGACAGATTCTTTAACAGAATGTTCCAAATTTTATTACATATGATAGACCCTTCCAAGAGAATGAAATTGATATAACATAATATAGCGTTTTGATGACTAGTTGTTGAGTTATAAGCAACTCAATGTACAAAAACGTTCAAATTTTACAGCATACCAGATTGCCAGGATCGAAAAGATCTTCAAAGAAGGTATCACACCACTTCTCGTTTCATTAAAAAAAAATGTTCTGAAGTGGTGCTCAGCCGCCATCATGAAATTGTCAACTGCCACTGTTACGCTAAAGTATAGTATTCATGCATCCGTTTGACTACCCCGAATTCCAGCTTGATAACTTGAACCGTTCAAATAATAAATAGGGGATGACATTTTTGAAAAGCACTGTATAAATGCAAATTACAGAATGTGGTGTTTTTGCAGATAAGCAGCTAATCCTTTATTTTAAAAGTCTGGATTCAAATGACAAGGTTGTCTCCATTATAATAATAATAGCCTTTATTTTACCTGGCGCGTGTCAGCTAAAAGCTGCTTTTCATACCAACCTGGCTGCTGAATCAGTTACGATGCTACCACTCAAACGCGAACGAAAGTATTAAAAATGGTGTGACCTACGTTTTAGACTACCGGTACCGTCGTATACAGGGAAAACCAAATTTGTCTGAAGGCTCGAGTTCAATCTGTACGAGAGAGAAGTGCGTGAAGTGTGTATCAAGACATGCTAGAAAGAGATACAAGCCGGCTAAAGAGCGAATCATCACCACATTGCCTAGCGACGATGACGAAAGAGGTCGTGCAATCTGCCGCGTTGCGAATATGTTAAACCAGAAAATATTCGTACAAGCTTCTACAATAGGCTAGGTCACTGTCAAACCCAAGACGGAGGTCGGTTCGAACATTTAATTTAATATTTTCTTTTCATTTTGATGTGACTTAGTGTTTTAATTTATTTTAGAATTATCTTTGAATTCCACCGATGGTGATAAAATCAACTCATCCTGAGTTAGGGCGGTCGGAAAATGTAACAAATACAATACGCAATACAAATTATCACTGTCTGCGTATACGCAGGTGAAAACCTTTCCCAAACAGGACGGCACTCACCGATGTGTGTTAATCTATGATCATGGAGGTGAAAACCTTGCCTTGTAATATACAAGATCCGGTATGGCCAAGCGAACCAACGATGCAATGCTGCAGAATTTGTGGATGTCCTGACCTTTCATTTCGACCTAAAATGGGGTGCCGTTAGGACCGATCCGGAATCGATCCTAAACAGATTCGACACAATTCACAATTCAAAAATGTGTATGCGCAAAATAAATCCATTATTTGGGCGTAGAGAATAAACTAACGCATATTTTCAACACGCATCTTAGTTGAAGGAATTAGTGTAACAATATTGGCAACCCAGCAGATTGCCGCGTCAGCGTTGCTAGGCGGGATGATGAGCTTCGCTAACCAGCCGGCGTCTATTTTTTTCTAGCATATGTGTCTATACACCCGTACACATAGAATTCAAGCCGTCAGTCACATTTGGTTCTCAGTGTATAGAAAGTATCATTCAGTTTTTTATGAGAATTTTCCACTAAGATAAGCTCCAAAATGAGCAAAAGGTCTTGTTTTCAGATGGCAATACATTGAGGAATACTCATGATGGCCATTATCGTTTAGTAGAGATGTTTAAAAATTCTTCCGACTAGTCTATAAAATGCTATATGATTGAGCTTCTTGCAAAACATATAGTTCTTTTTACAGTTTTTGGTGCTGCCGTCACATTGTCATACGAAACTAGTAACTGTACCATGTGTCCTTAAGGGAAATTGCACACTGCATAAGCTGATTCTTATATTTCTACTCGTTCTTGAACGTGACAAGCATGTCGTCATAGTGACACTGGCAAGCATAAATGTGGTCGACTCTTTCGTAGGCGGTAGCATTTTTATGACGGTGAGACAAGACTAAAACGTATTACATATATAAGCTTGCTTAAATCAATCAATAAATCAACGTCCCCGAAGTCGATTTCATAGTGTATTTGTGAATGAGTCGATTGTATGAAATTAATCCCTGTAGAGATCTTCTCACGGTTTGTGGGGAGTCAGTAGAACTTCCAGGCTGAATCAAATACGAACCGGACTTTTCTGTTTAACGCGCCATAGGTGAATGGAGTGGGGCGACGTCTTGGTATATGTTGGGTGGGGATGTCGGGAAGAGGGGAATCAGTCGCTTTGGCGCGCCGAAGTTGATGAACTGTTAGGAGCATCATTATCATAAAATTGTCGCGGGAGGGCGTCAAACCTTCCGAAATTTTGCGTCGATTAATAGCACAGTTCGGCGATAAGAAGTTTCAAGGACACAAGTATACAACTGGCAAAAATTGTTTCCATGGAGTGGCGAAAGCCTGGAGAGGCGACACCGCTAAAAGCTAAGACCAGTCTTTCTTCAGGAAAAGTTCTTGCAACGATCGCCGGACATTTAATGCTGCTTACTACTGCCAACTATTTAAAGAACTGAAACTGGCCTATCGGTGAAAAAGGCGAGACATGCCTATTCGAAGTGCCATTCTGCTCCATGACAACGCTCGGCGACACACAGCTGCATTCATTGGGAAGCACTTCAACACCCGCCTTACAGTCCCGATTTGTCGCCATGTGAATATCACATATTTGGGCCACTTAAAGAAGACCTGGCAGGTCACCACTTTGACGAAGACGAAGGTGTGGAAGCGTTCGAGCACAATTTTCTACCGACACGACCAGCTTCATTCTTTCTTTCATGTTGGAATTAAAAAACTTCCAATCCGATGAGAAAATGCATCAACAAGAGATTATGTAGAAAAATAAGATGACTAAAACAAAATTCTTCTTCATATTTGATTGACCCTCGTAGAAGAATTATTTTCATATATCAAAGATACACGTTTAGTTTAGTTTTGCCTCGCCACCCAGAACATTTTCTAGCCAACGCTTGAGTCTTTCATATTTATGTTTGTCACTGTCAGTACTACAACTTGCTTATGGGCTTGTAACTTGTGTTTATCCATGTTGACCTTTGACACAAAATATAGTAGTGCCTAAAGATATGTTACAACTACAATGTCGACAGTCTGTGTTGAAAAGTATTTTCAGAAAACAACACCCAGTTCATATGTGCGTGCAACAGCGAGTAGCAGCTGCGTTAAGGATCGGCTTGCACAATGTGCAGTTTCCCTGAGAAAAGTTAAGCTATGCACAAGGTACCATCAGTAAACCTGTTTACTTATTTCGTATGGCATTATGATGTAACCGCCAAAAACCGCGAAAAGAACTATAGATTCATTGTGACTCCAAAAACCGTAAAAGGACCTATACAGGGTGTTCCCTAATGATTTGCGAATATTTAAGGGTGTGAATCTATATGAGAAATTAATGTTAATTTGCTTTATAAACTATGGTCCAAAAATTTGTCCTTGCAAAAACTTGGGGTGTTGAAGGTTTAGGAAAAATGGACATTAATTAATATTTTCAGAACCGCTTCAGATATTTCACTGATATTTAGTACGTAGTGAAAGTTAATAAAGTTGCATATTTTTCAATGCAAAAATAATTTTTAGCTTTAACAGTTGCGTGCGTACGGGTATTGTCTTCGATATTTTTTAAGGAAAAAATGGTATGCCAAAGAAAAATTATTTTTGAATTCCCCGTTCAATTTAAAACAAATGATCTCTCTTGAATTGTTTTCCTTCGTTTCGCCATTTTTGATTAAAAAAATAAAAACCGTTCTATTGCCTAACTTGCAAAATTATTATTAAAATAATTGGAAAAATTAAACACATTAGGGGTAATGATCAACAACAACTGACAACGTAAACATAACATTAAAACCAACGGGATGATTAAAAATATTGTTGAAAATGGCCCCCTTCACGGGTATGCATGCTTCCGCCCTCCTTCTCATGGAATTGCGCACTCGTTGAAATATCACTGGAGTGTTTTTTATTCTATCACAACCTGCAACTATTTCTTTCTCTTAATTCCTCTACAGTGTTAAAGGGACTTGTGTACACTAGTGTCTTAAGATAGCCCCACAAATAGAAATCTAAACTGTTGAGGTCTGGGGACCTTGGTGGCCATTCTTGAGGCCCACCGCGGCCAATTCAACGATTTGGATGAACAGTTTGTAAATAATTGCGAACCGCTGCACTGAAATGCTCTGGTGCGCCATCATGCATGTACCACATATTGTTTCTTATTAGTAACGGACCATCATCAAGCAGCAAAGGCAACTGTTGTTGAAGAAAATTGAGGTAAGTCTGTCCGTCAAGTCGTCCCGGCAAGAAGAATGGGCCAATGAAGTGGTTGCCAATAATTCCTGGCCATACATTAACCGAAAATTGGTGTTGGAAATGGGTTTCAGTTACGGCATAGAGATTTTCTTCTTCTTGTGGCAATTCTGAATGGCATTTCGAGAAAAATTAGCTTCATCCGTGAACAGAATCATTGATTCAAATTGCGGATTTTGTGTAATTTTTTGAAGATATCACTGACAAAAGGTCACACGCCTTGAAAAATCAATAGGAAGTAATGCCTGTACTCTTAAAATATGGTAAGGATATAACAAAAAATCCACTAAAATTCTATAAACAATTTGATGACAAATATTTAAGTGTCTAGCGATCTTCCTCGTACTCGTTTCAAGATGTTCTTCGACTTCGTGCAGCACTGCTTCCTCAATTTCAGGTGTTATCACACTTAGAGGTCTACCTTCAGATGGTTCCTTTTCGGACAACCAGTTTCAACAAGACGACGATGATTAGTAGAAAAGGTTCCATCTGGCTTGCTCACCATTACCGTCGGCAAGGCCATATATGTAATGCATTTCCCCCATTTCTGCATTTGAATAATTCACCATTATTAACAAGATTGTAAAAACTAAATAATGAAAAAGATGTCACAGCGAACAGATTTGTATAACAGAGACTTGTCAGATGTCGAAAGCCAGTGACATATTCCAGAGCAACTAGCAACTTATTGCTAAATTGCATTCTTCAATTATTACATTAGTTATACTCAAAAATGGTGCATCGAAGGAAAACAATTCAAGAGAGATCATTTATTTTCCAAAAAAGCATTGGCGTACCATTTTTTTCTTAAAAAATATCGAAGTCCATACCCGTGCGCACGCCACTGTTAAAGCTAGACATTATTTTTGCATTGAAAAATATGCAACTTTATTAACTTTCACTACGTACTAAATATCAGTGAAATATCTTAAGCGGTTCTGAAAATATTAATTAATTCCCATTTTTCCTAAAACTTCAACACCCCGAGTTTTTGTAAGGAATCATTTTTGGACCATAGTTTATAAAGCAAACTAACATTAATTTTTCATGTAGATTCACACCCTTAAATATTCGCATTTCATTAAGGAACACCCTGATTATTCGTGAGGATGCTTCCTTTGGGTTTAATGAAAATGCTAATTTAGACTCTGAAATAAATATGAAAAATGCGTCACACACAAACCTGCATTTACTTTTCTGCATTATTAAATATTTTAGTAGATTATTTTAGATTGGAGACAATGCTGTGTTTTAATATACTTAATTCATAATCATTGTGCAAAAATTTTGTACTGCTAGGAACTACAGACATTGCAGTTTTATCACTCTTGGAGCTAAATTTTTAATATCCGACAGGTGATGTTATCGTATTGGCGATTGGTAAAATTATGTAGTGTCGATAATGAAGTATTAAATATGTAAATCGAAGCTTTTGCTTGTAGCAGTTCGAATAATTTAGTTTCTAAATTATACTGGACAATAAGTAAAATAACCATAGTTTGTTGTCGCATTTTTCATGACGCAGCTTTGTTTCTGACTAAAGTAGTTTTTTTATTTCAACAGGCAAAAGTGGAGAAATGCCATTTGCAGGTTCAGAAGCGAAAACCCAAGGGAAATATTCCGACGATGACGGCGTCCCAGGCTTCTTATCAAAAATTAAAAGAGCCATTTTTGGATAAAATTAGAAATATGTACGTTTCTGTGTCTCCCTCGATCTCATTTTGACAATTCCTGTAGGGAAGAAATTAAAAGTGTTAACTCATTGTTTAAATTTTTTTATTATATATGGCCCTGATGTACTGAGACTGAATAGGTGATTTCGAATCTTTTCAATATTTTGTTTAAACCTTACATGAATTGTCAAATTGCTATATTTTGTTTTGTTTCATAAATGCATTTCATACAGCAGGGTTGCCATATTGGGACACTATTCCTCAAATTTGGGAGATTTTTTCTTCCCTTTGGGAATTTTTGGGGGATATAATGTTCAGGGGGATTTTTTGGGGGAATAATAAAATCTTGGGATATTTTCGGTGTATTTTATTCCATTTTTCCTAGAGCACAACTGACCATTGCTGAATACAAATTTTATTTTTCTGTAGTTTTTTCTTTCCTCATGAAGACTAGATAATATGGGTGTGAAATCATAGAGTGGGAGTAAAGCCAAAAATGTCAACGCGCACTACAGTTTCGGGAGCCACGCCCTCAGTAACGCCACTATTGGCTTCATACGAATACGTGTCTTTCCTTATGCAGTTCAACCTCCTGCATCAAGTCTTCATGGGTGGCACCTATCTACACAAAACCGACCTACCTTTACACCTTTGATGTGATCTTATCTCATACATGTGTTTAGGAAGAAAGAGCTAGACGACTATTCTACAATGCCCCAGTCCCCAATGACGAAGGTTAGGTTAGGAAAACCTTGCATTTCAAATTGATAATTATCTTTTGATTCTGAACTAAATCGTGTAAATTGCCCAACTAGGGCCTTAAAAACTAATAGAGATAACTCAGATGTTTTACGAATAGTTTCTGTCTGAGCCATAAAGTTATAAATGACACGTTTCGCGGACACAAAGCTCCCACTTCCGCTCTTCAAATTAAATGTAGCCCGTCTCTTAATGAAATGATGAAATGATTTTCTTGAAAAACTTGCAATTCTGCGGAATTTTTGTGCCTGTTCTGGGGAAGTCTGTCTTACCCACTTGGCAACGCTGATCATCAGGCTTTAATGTAGGCAATAGTTTATATAAAAAATCTCAATTAATGAACAGTGGCTGTCAAAATTATTTTGCCTCAATTTAGCTGGTTGAAATTCATTCATCTCAGATTGTTACACGAAGATTCGCAATTTCACTTCTCACGCCACTGGCGAGGAAGTATTGTAATCGCGAAAAAAAATTTGAAAACAAGATATGTTTTTCTGGATGTTATATCACATCACGAAAAAACATGTCGCTCATTTCCGTCGGTGTGTACGCTAATTCTTGGCCCATATACTGTGTATGTATTGGCAAACACCGATCTGATTTTGATAAAATTTCACACAAGGCTACACTACTGTGTGGAAAAAGCTTCATAGTTTCTGAAAGTCTGTGCAGTGGTGACGGGTCTATGGGCAAAAAATTAAAAAAAGGAATCGCTCAAAGTTCACTTTTTGACGTTTCAGATGCCTCTGATCATTTTCAGAAAAAAATTGTAGGGGTTAATAATTTAGAGGTGAAGTGGTAGGGAAAGTATATCTCAATCTTTTGGCTTTAGCATATTGGTACGCTTCCAACCCCGACAATTTTGCGCACCTGTTATACATATTTCCCCTTAAAACTTAAAATATACTTCAATACGCGATTTTGGATATACTGCATCGCGGCCTGACCGATGGATGGCTGGCGAGTGACGAGTTTAGTCATAGCAACGTTGCCAGGTGGTTGATACTGTCGGTGGGACAGGGGAGAAATTTCTAAATCACAACATTGTCAAATGGGTAGGGACTGGAATATTAGTATGGGCCTGTTTGACTAACTTGATCCAAATAATTTTTTATTATACATGTTCGTAACAAACTTGTTTTAAAAAAGGCTAAATTGTTGCGAACATAGTGTTTTAAGAACTAATGATAGTGTTGCGTGGGAAGGGCTTAGTCAGCCTACTTGACAATTTTTTTTAATGAATATTGACTGTATACATCCTGATAATAGCAATCATCTCTCTCAATTTCAGGTAGCAAAGCAGCAACTTCAAGTAATATAGATATGTTAAAAGCAATCCGGTTCGCTATAGGTGGTAAGAATGTTCAAAATTCTAAAAATCCTACTCATACAGAAAGTGCTGATAGGTTGCCCCAAATGAAAAACGAAGATAAAAATGGGAAAAGGGACGAAGATCTAAGTGACGGCGAAGATACAAAATTGAAAAACAAGAATTGAGAGTGCTTTTTTTGAACCTCGTAGGTTTGCAATGTTATTTGATGTTTTGTATATATTTTGTTATATGTAAGCGAAATGATTACATGAAGGGTCATATACATCGACGTTTTTATTTATCACATCCTTGCTATTCTCTATAAGTTTTTGTGAATGTGGAAGGCAGAATGACTCCCATGGACGTAGCCAGCAGTACCGCCTGGGGCGGAATCAAAGAAATGCGCAACAGATTGTAAAATGAAGAGCAAAAAATGGTCTTCAGGTCCTTTTTGGAAAACTGACGTTACCAGCTGGGCGGGAGAGGGAGGTGTGGTAGCGCACACTACTACTTGATTTTTGGAATAAAAAAACCTGTCAATTCTTCAAATTGTCTCTGATTTTCTCTGATCTTTGCTGTGACATCTTTTGTCGATAACCCCTTTACTCCAACCGGTTCTTAACAAAAACCTAAAATATTTCACGAAAAAGAATGAAACAAACTGATTTATAGTTCGTCTTTTGCCGTTAACATAATCAGACAAATTGGAAAATAGATGCTGGGTTGCAACTGGGGAATAGGGTTTTTATTTTTTAATAAAATTGCCACGAGCTTATTGGTGTCAACTCGCCCAGCTAACCAGAGTAGGGAGACATGGAGAATTCTCAGGTATTGAACTGTTTTAGTTTCAAATCGAAAGTGTTCCCTGTCAGCGTATCTTTACGGTATTGCCGGTATTTCTTCCAATAAATATTAGAAAATGTTCGAGTTCTCGAAAGATTTCGAAAATAAATCATTCTTTCCAAAAAGTTCCTCTTAAGTTTGGGCTCCGAAAAAGTTCCTCCAAAAACATGCATTTGCAGCTTTTGGCACCACTATTTGTGTCTAACAAGGTGGTTCGAGCGCCACCTCTGATGCAAGAGAACAAAGAACTGAAAAACACGGCAGCAAGTGGACTCTTCTAACTCGAATTTATCGACGGACATAGTACAAACAGACCAATGGAAACGATTGACATGGTTTTTCGTAATATACAAACATGACTCATTTTTTCGCGATTACAATACTTCCTCGCCAGTAGACGTGGGAAGTGAAATAGCTCTGTTACTAAGTTATCCAATATTCTCACCTGTATCTGATATACCAGGTTCCACAGATTATTAGGAAAACTGAAGATTTTGGTTCACTCAAATCTTTTGTCAAAGGATGCATTAACAGTTCGAAAAAAGATATTCAACATGCAGGGTCGGCTTCAGAATTTTGTGCGCCCTGGTACAATTTATGAAATGTGCGCCCTCCCTCCCATTGATTGAGAACAAGGCTTTTGGGTTTGATAACAAGAGCGTGGGGGGTGGGTTGGCCTTGGCTTGTGGGTCTCGATTTGCCGATGGGTCGTGACGCTCATAACTGCCGCTGGATCCGCCTTTGATGAAGAATACCCAGGAGGGGTTGCAGCTGGCCCCGTTTTCCCTAGCTCGGCAAAAATTAAATGGGAATACATAAGAAAAATCAAAGTTGACACGGTGCATAAGAAACAAGAAATCATTAATGTTTTTTATGCCACCTTGCAAAGATAAAAAAAACTGGCAATGTCAAGATGTGAAGTTTATTTTTAGATCCCAGAACAAATTGAAAACGATTTTGGGAAAATTCGTTCCCCTTTCCGTGTATCTCTGGAGACGTCAAAACTTTTCAAATGCACCTTATAAAATATATAAATACACAACTTTGCCACCATTCAACCGACCCGTATCTCTAAATATGACGTTATGATGTTTTTCAAATCATTCTAGGACAAACTAGGGACATATCCTTCTACATATTCTATAAAATTTAAAATTTTTATTGAACCAACTATGTGTGATCTCTACTATCCATCGGGTCATCGTAATAAACCTCGAATGATTTGCCTCAAAGCATGTAAGCTGTGTTTCTCTGGCCCTGTGGATTGTGGATGGAAGAGATCGAGTTTGCAGAAAAACGGTTCAATATGGAAAATATTTAATACATCTGAATTTGGATTCTATATAAGACTGCGCATAATTGTTGCATCTGATGATGTTACTGCATAAGGTCCTAGAACGCCCAGAATGTAGCCATCGCAACACACTATCAAAAAGGATTTAACAAGGTTTCGATATTTATGGAGACTATACGTATTTCTCACACATATATATATATATATATATATATATGTGTATGTATATATATATATATATATATATATATATATATATATATATATATATATATGTGTATGTATATATATATATATATATATATAGTCAACGCCAAACAAAGTGGCGTGCACGTCATCACGATAAAAATTCCCCGACCTAATGCCTAGGTTTCTATCACAAACAATTGCTCTATTGCAGTTTCATACTAATGTGATATATAAATTGTAAAATGGTCATTACTCTCTTATTATGGTTAATAGTCATATAAACATTGTTATTAAAATATCACATAAGTTGCTTTCTGATAAATTTAGACGCATTATGCGAAATAAAATGTTTTGCAAACGCTCCAATCACTTATCGACATGTAAACGCACTAAACCGATTTCGCAGCGTTGACACATTGTCACCTTGAAACTTATTTAAACTGGGAACTGACATTTGTATTAATTTTGACACTGAATCAATTTGTGGCATTTCAAATCTTTATAAATCCTTTGGCCCCGCATACTGTAAATCAACAACTGTTTGTTTCAAAACAAAATTATTCATTTTACGAGTAGATAAAGGCAATTTTGGTATATAAAGATGCCCAAACAGTTAAATAGTCGGTGTAAGGAACTCGTGGCCTCGTTAATGCACTACTTTGAGCAAGAAAGGGACAACAACGGGCCTTTGTTGCCTTTAAATGCTGTTCAAGAGGTAGGTTACTAATAATTATATGTAATGTATATTAATAATAGTGAAATTTTATTTCATTTTTTGTAGCATGTTGCTGCTGCTTTAAAAATTAGTTTAAGGACAGTTAGTCGTATTTCCGAGGGTGTGAAAAGTGATGCAAATTTAGAATCGCCCAAGAAAAAGCGGAGTTATATTAAACGTGTAACCAACACAGCGACATTGGATACAAGTGCCATTCGAGAAGTGATCTATAATATGTATCACAAAAGTAAGATCTTATTATAATAACTTATCAGAAATTTTCATTAATTTGTTAACTAAATTATAATGTCATATTACACATGGTTTCAGAAGAACAAGTTACG